CCCCAAAACCCCAAAACCCCAAAACCCCAAAACCCCTTTAATTTTATATAATATTGAACACAAAATTATTTTTATTATGTCCTCAGATAATCTAAAGTTTCCCAAAATGGTCAAATATTCAACGAAGCTTAATAAAAAAGGAAACCTAGCTCACACTCATAGAAGGTATTGCTTGTTAAGCCATTTATTTGTAACTTTTATAGCAAACTTAGCTGATTTTACTATCCATGCTCATAACATGTCGGTTTGCCATTTGAGGTGAAATTAAACAACATATAATGCTTAATATATACCAAAATCGAGTTCAGGATTTATTTCTCCAATTTTACAAAAGTAATATATTCATAGAAATAAAACTATTGAAGAACCTAATTTAGCTTCCCATTATTTACAAAGAAGAATGGATGCTCTTAAAAGGAACAACAACGACTTGAATTCTTTGATTAAAGACTTGTCTGACCCAGCAAGGGCTGGGAACAGTTATCGCTTGCATGTAAGCATGAAACTTAAGTTCTTAGAATACTCTCCAGAAGGATAAGGTTGATTTTGGCTCCAAAGAGAGAGAAAATAGCCTTCAACAAATTAATCCTGATCACACTCCTCGCTATAAATCACACCTGGATAAGTCACAGAAGGTCAAAAAGTTAGATAAAAAGACGAAGAAAAAAATTCAAAGGAATAGGGTAAATTTTAATTAATAGCTTTAGAAAAATTTGAACCAACATTTTAATGTACAAAAAGTAAAACCAAGAGATTTGAATAATTCTTATCAACCTTTAGAGCAGAATCGTTCTGCTCGAGTCTCTCCAGCCCCAAGGAAGGAACTTACTCCCATTAATTGCGATTATAATTATGACACTGCAGAACCAGGTGAAAATTTCAAGGATGTTAAGAAAGTCTTTGGTCATAAGCATTCAGAAATTTTTGATACTTCAAAAGAGATTGAAGCTACACCAGAACTGAAGAAACATAAAAATTTAAGTATTGATAAAAAGAAATAAGACCCAAAAGTATGTATTTTAGGAATATTTTGGCTCGTGGTCTATCTCTAAGATAATTTTATAGCTATTCACTGTCAATTACCAAAAGAAGGAAACTTGAGGGATCAATAGGTTCCTCAGAAGCAAATTCACAGTCGAAATTACCTCAGATCCATAAGAGTTTAGCCAGAAATCAGTTTGAGAACCAAATTCCAAGTTTGTTAAATAAGAATCTTTCAAAAAGTAAGGCTTCAGGAGTCATTGTATAGACGATCTTAATACAGGAACAAGGGAAACCAGAAATCTTCCTTTAGAGTCTGAAAGCTCAAGAATAAATTTGAAGACTTATAATACTGGAGAGGGGCAGATCCAGCCAACTCTTACCCAGACAGCTTCTTCTGATAATTTTAGTAACGACAAAATCTCAGCCATCCAAGAGAGCACCAGAGCTTTACGCCGGAAGATCAGAAACTTGGACTTTGAGCTTGACAGCAAACAGATAGAACTTGAAAAGGACTTTCAAAGTTTAAAGAACCAGAAGGTTGAAAAAGATGGGGACTTTGTTGACCTTAAATTCTCTATATTCAAGAAAATACTAAATTTCTACAACAAATGTCTTAAAGAAATAAATGAGAAGCTTTCCCCTCAGTGCCAGGTGAGATACAACTTCATAAAGCGCTTAGAAGAAGCGTATTTTGAACTTTTTACGAAACTAAAGAATTTCCATGTCAACGAGATGACAAAATACACGGCTCGGATAACTCTCCTTTCTCAAAAGAACAAGTTATATGAGAAGCTCCTTCAGACCTACAAGGACAAAGAAGGGTTTGTCCACACTGACATCATCGGCATGAAGAATAAACTAGATTCAGTCGAAAAGGAAATGGGAATTTCTGATATTTTTAAGAACAGTAGTGATCAAGATAGTAACCTGCTGAAGATTTTAACTAAGAAAAAGAATGAAATTAATCAGGAGATATCAAGAGAAGAGACAGTTAATGGACTTCAAGAGATCTTTTCAGCCATGGTGTCGATGAAAGGGAGTGGGGAGTTGCTAAATACTTTGACAAGTAAAGATTTTGACTTTGATGTTGAGAATTGGGAAGATAGTATGCTCGAAGCGCTCAAGAATGCACAGTTTGGAGCAGCAAAATCTGTAGTAGGAGTCATTAAAAATAGGGACAAATTTAGTGAAATTGAAGTCCAGACTGAAGAAGATCCACTTAAGGATGAGTTTACAGCACTTACACAGAAGTTTACTCTTCTTCAGGAGGATTTCAAGATCCAAAAAGAGGCCTTAGAGTATGCTAACAAAAACTCATCTCAAAGAAGGACTATTCTTGAGGAAGCCAAGAAGGAATGGAAAGCAAAAGAGCTTGAATACAAACAATTTGAAACTCAGAGGAAAGAACTAGAAACTCGTATACAAAAATCCAAGGAATATGAATTAGAATTCTATCGAAAAATTGCGAAACTTACTGGTGAAGTTGACCAGAAAGACAAGCAGATATTTGAAGCTGAGGTGAGATTCAACAGAAAAATTAAGCATATGGAATCAGACGAATACGTTATCAAGCGACTAGAAAGATGAATCCGAGATACAAGAGATGGCAAAAGCAAAATAAACAAGAACAACCCTCTTTATGAAGCTTTTATGAAGATGAACCTTGGCAATGCAGCTAGAGAAGGAGCTGGGCAGTTCCTTGGTGACCCGGATGGGGAAAGTGACGATGACGAAGGGAGATATAGCAGAGATGGGCTTGTAAGCAGATCGAAGCTGAAAAAGATGAAACAGAAGGGAAGGAATAGCTCAAATTTTGAAATTGGAAAGCATAAAGATAGAAGCTCTAAGAGTTCATCTGTTAATGAATCGAAGGAAGGTAATAGAAACAGAGGGAGAGATGCAGAGTATGATGACTTTTCAAGTGATCGGAAGTCTAAATTTAGCAAAAATAAGAACAAATTTGATAATTCGAGTGATAGCGAGTATAACAGTAAATAAATTCCAATAACATTTTAGAGAAAACAAGGACTAATCGGAAAGGTGAAAAAATTAGAAGACGTGAAAATGGTAGGAGAAGTGGGGAAGATGAAATAAAAGAGATAAATGATAAGAAAAGTAAAACGGGTGAAAGCAAAAGAAGTAGCAAGAGGAAGTCTAAATTCTTACAAGACAGGCAAAGAGTGTCTCAAGAAATTGATGTAAACAACTTTGAAACACTTGGTAACCCCTTATCTAACCTATAGATTCCACTAGTGATCCAGAATCCCTTCGGACTTACTCAGTCTTTGAGTCTGTCACTGAAGAATACGAGACTGAAGACAGTCAGGGAAACATTGTGGTTAAAAAGAGAAAGACTAAGGTGAAATAAGTACTACAAAACAGTTGATGGAAAACTAGTTCAAAAAGTCAAAGGGAAAAGACGAATCAAAAAGCGCAGGAAGGATAGCCAGGGCAACTCAGTCGAGTACTCCTCTGATGAGAGTTACACTATTGGTAAAATTCCACTAAACTCTTAAAATTATCACAATTTCCTTCCCAGTTTGAGATCTTGCTTTAGAGAATTGTAGCGTTGATGAAGAGAAAGTAGAGATGATCAATAAGAAAGTTAGAGAGAAGGTAAAAGAAGAAAATAAGAGGAAGAAGGAACAAGCCATGATATCAGCGAGGATCAAGAGAAGACCTAATGGAGATTTTGAATATTTCTCAGGTGATGAGGGTGGATTTGAGCAGTACCAAGAGGAGATGGTCAAGAAATTTGGAGCAAACGGGAATGAAAAAGGGTCTTTTCAGATCAGACTTGACAGGAAAATTCATTCTTCTTCACAAGGAACTAAATATTTCTATGATCCTAAGACAGGGAGAAAAGTGAGAATTGATGATTCTTATTGGGCTCCAGAAGAGAGAGAAAAATCTGAGTTCCAATTTGCAGATAATCCTATCCCTCATACTGGAGATTGTGGGCCGAACTGTTCTCATATGCTAAAGGCAAGTATGTTCCGGAAGCACAATAATAGGAAAGTGCTTCACATGAAGACAAGCAATATTAATGGGTTCGGAGGATAATATATTTGCTAAATTTGTTTCTAAAAGATGGGGTTTTGGGGTTTTGGGGTTTTGGGGTTTTGGGGTTTTGGG